GGGGCACAGGATGAGCACCCGCTTCTCACTTGACTCTGGACCCTGCTGGTCCCAATAAAGGGCCAGGGTGGCGTGGTCCCCTGTCTGCATTGTCACCTGGCTCAGCCACCCTCCCCGCTCGTGTGTCAGAGGGACATGGGGAGGAGGTGTGTGGGGGGGGGGGGCAGTGGGGAAGCAGCACCCCCCCCATGAAACCCAGAGCCAGCATCGCTGAGCAGCCTTTATTTGAACCGTCTCGGACACAGGGACATCCCTACGGTGGCAGGGGGCAGGCGGGGCACTGGTGTCACCCCCCTGTCCCACGGGGGGAAGATCGGGAGGGGTGCAAATAGGTCATGAGCAGAGCTGGGTGCAGGGGCACCTGCCTGCGTGGGGTGCCCCCCCCAGTGCCAGGCTGGGGTGGGGGGGACATGAGGGGGTAGTGCCAGCCCTGGGGGGGGCAGCAAGGTGCTGTGGGGGGCTGCTCCTCCCCTGTCCCCGCACACAAGTCACCAGCATGCATGGGGGAGGAGAGACAGGAAGGATCCGCTCCAAGGGGTCTGTGGCCTCGAGCCCGGCACTCGCCCCAGCCACCTCCGGGTGCCACCCCTGGGTGCCACCCCTGGGTGCCACCGCTGCCCCCCATGGCCCCTGGGGGGCCACGTGCCGGAGGCTTCATGCGGCGGCGGGGCCGGTCAGCGGCTCCGCGACACGGCTGGGGCAGGGGGTGCCCCACGGGGCAGGGGGTGCCCCACGGGGCAGGGGGTGCCCCACGGGGCAGGGGGTGCCCCACGGGGCAGGGGGTGCCCCACGGGGCAGCCGCCAGCCCTACAAGAAGGCGCTGGGGTTGGCCCTGGGGTCCTTCTGGTTGCGGTACCGCATGGCCAGCCACACGCCCAGGATCTGCAAGACACACCAACAGGGCGGGGGCAGTGAGGGCAGGGCCCCCCAGGGGTGCTGGGTGTCCCCCCCCACCCCGGGACCCCGTTACCTCTGTGAAGCTGAAGAAGAGGCCGACGCCRCCCAGGATCTTGAGCGCCTCGTCCGAGTGCTGCAGCATCTTCTCGCCGCACGTCAGGCACTTGGCGCGGGGGTCCTTGCCCAGCAGGGTCTTGCACTTCTGTGGGGGGG